ACTCACATATCGGCCGATTGACTGAGTGAACAAAGCACTCACGTCGAACCGCCCGGCTACCGACCAATCATCATATACGATCAAACTGTCAATTGCGGGTACCTTTTAAAACACTATACAACTCAGTTCTTCACTTATTCGTTGGCGCCACTAAGTTGTACCTTTTTATTTCAGATTTTGATTGTTCTGCAATTCGAAACAATTTTGTGGATAACTTCAAAGTGCTTCATACGAACAGCAGGTATATACGTTGGGTTTGAATGCAGGTTACTTGAAATCCGAAATATCTCTAACCGCTGTTGAAACTTTCAACTACTGTTCTGCCTCCTGTACATTTTTCAATATTCCACAGTCCATTCCCAGATTCTGGACAACTGTTACCTACGAAGCATGATAAGATAACGATGCATTTCCCATAAAATTTTCATCGACTCATTGTGATGATAAATATTTTTTAAATTGTTTTCAATGTCATTGTTTGGGGTTTTGGACTTTCCTAAATATTATCCACCGCGACTGTCAAGAAGCATCGCTTCACACTTTCTTGATCAAGAATATATACTGGTGATGCACTGTTTGGATACTTTACTGTAGTAATGAATATTACCAAACCGTTATTTCAACACCTCGAAACGTGTTTCGATCACCAAGTGATCATTAGCGAAGTTAGAAAAGTTGACAATGCTGAACGCGATGCCACAGAAGACAAGTTATCTGTAGTCTCGTCCAGTAGAAGCAGTAGAAATGATGGTGCACAGTCTAAATCGGTTTCAGTATCTTTATCTGTGAGATCCAATGCAAGTATTTATACCAATAGTATATGAATTATAAGTATAAATCGCAATATTTTTTTATAATCGCTTTGAGATAATATAAGAAATCACGTTATCCAATTCCAGATAAATCAGTGTCGCAGCAACCTCTCGCAAAACCTTTTCAACTATAACGATTTGTGATTACTTTGTAATTAATTTTCTATATATTATTTGGGTAACAGTAGCCAGATAGTTTCAACAATTCCAACAGATAGCCAGACAAACTCGAAGGGTTGTGGTGTGAGCGCAAGACAATATACATTCAGATGGATATATATTGCCTACTGAGAGTGAGAACCTCTGCTATCATTTTTTGCGCAACTTTCGTTTACTTATTACATATTCTATTATTGAACTGAAACTGAGTATCAATTACTGAATCAAACGAACTCACCTGTAAAGAAGTTCGATTGTGAATATATGAAGTACTCGTGAAGTAAATGAGAACAAGCCTCACATCGCATATAGTTCAAGTAAATGATATAGATTTGAAATTATGTGAAATTATGTATGAGTAGCGATGAGGTGACTGCCATGAATTTATCGTATACTCCGTTTGATCGTTTCAATGACAAAAATTTTTCTCTTTCCAATAATTCAGTACGTCCAATGCATTCAGTCATGCAATATCCATAACGGATAGCTGGCCATACAAAGATTAATTTTTCAATTATTTGGGCAGACATACCTGTAGAGTCATAAATATCGGAACTATTTGAGATGGTGTAAGGATGCTCTTTTGATAATTCAGAACAAAAAATCATGAAGATACTCTATCGTAAATAAGTCATAATTTCTGAGAAAAAGACAACAGGTTTCATCAGTTTGATGAATATAAAAAGGGACAATTAAAGCCAAATAGCATGCATTTGTATTCGAATAATTCACTATCATATTTTTAAAGACTTCCTATAAGTATTATCGATGTCAACTGAAAAATATGCATTTTCCAGATTCAAAGTAAATGTACAGTGTGTCAATTTCAAAAATTACAATGGGGTATATCTCACGAACGAAAGCTGATATCGAAAAATGCTCGAAACCATTTCTAGGATAGCAAGGGTGAACTAAAATGACATGAAAGAGAACTCATCCCCATCAACCCCCTGGGGCCTCACCTACCAAAACACAAAAAGTTTAAATTGCAAACCCCTATTTGTCCATTGGCATGAATCATAATTGTACAGAGTGAAGTAATAATTGTGAAAATTTGGCTTAGATGGAATATTTAATGAGGTTTTTGTTGAACTGCAAATTTATTAAAAATGTCATTTCAGTAAATGTTCAAAGTGGGTTCCGTTGTTTTGTAAACCATAATACAGCCTATTTTCAAATTCTGCACAAACTTTGGCAAATGTTGTTCTAGTAATGGCGTGACATGCTTGCGTAATTCTTTCTCGCAATTCCCCAAGTGACGCAGGTTGAGTTTTATAAACAACTGACTTGAGGTGACCCCACAGGAAAAAGTCAGGTGGCGCCAAGTCTGGTGACATCGGTGGCCACTCAATGGGACCTCTCCTTCCAATCCATATGTTCGCATAATTAGTATCCAACCAGTGCCTAACTGGAGCTGCATTGCGAGGAGGTGCTCCATCTTGTTGGAAGTGCAGCAAATATTCGTCTACAGCTAGGTTGCCATGGTCGTCCCTTTGGTTTGCACAATTAAAGGTTCGATGGTGTTTTCCAGCATATCGAGATGAATGTTGCCACTCAAATTGCCTGGTATGAACAAAGGACCAATTATAGGTTGCCATGGTCGTCCCTTTGGTTCTCTAATTCATGCACAATTAAAGGTTCGATGGTGTTTTCCAGCATATCGAGATAAATGTCGCCACTCAAATTGCCTGGTATGAACAAAGGACCAATTATAGCATCGCCTAATATTCCTGCCCAAACATTCAGTTTTTCAGGATATTGAGTGTGACCTTCTCTGAATCGATGCGGGATCATTTACATTACCATTCAGCATAAAAGTACATTCATCACCGAAACAATTATTTTTTAACATTCTCGATTCAACGCGAATTCTTTCAGTTCTGAGTTCACAAAACTCAATTCATCGTTCTAGATCATCATCGCCTAGTTCTTGAAGAATGTGTGTTTTGTAAGGTGTAACGTATGTAATTTCAACACCTTTCTAACCGATTCACTGCAGATACTGGACGTGTTGAGGCAGTAGGCTTTATTGCAAAATTTCCAAGGACCTCAATTTGGGTTGCTTCATTCAGTAATCTTGGGGCATTCCTTTTTTTATTTTGCACTGATCCCGTGTCTCTAAACTTCTCAACTAAATCGCGGACGTACACGTAACTTACATTTTTGTTCGGATGCCGTTTATGAAATATTTGAGCTGTTTTTAAATAACACTGGTTCTGGGAGGCAAATATGAAAATTATCTCCACGCGCTCAGGTATACTGTAAACCATCGTGACAACTACAGGTGAATGACAGTACAGATCGTACAAAATATGAAAACTAATGACATTCAAAAGTCTCAAACAAAACAAAAATTATTTTCAACTTGTTTTGCGAAAACGGCAAATTAAGTTTTTATTCAACAAAAAAAGTATCGACGGACACTTATCATTTGAAATAATAGTCCGGGAGGTAGCATTACAAATAAAAAAGTCATAGTTAGCCGGCCGATATTAAAGTTCGTGCAGACTCTGACAATAGGCTGTATATTGTTGACAAAACAACGGAAACCACTTTGAACATTTACTTAATTGACATTTTTAATAAATTTGTAGTTCAACATAAACCTCATTAAATATTCCATTGAAGCCAAAGTTTCACAATTATTGCTTCACCCTGTATAATTATTATTTATACCATAGAATTGCATTTTTTATAGTCTTAAAAATGATATATCACAAGTAGGGGTTTGCAATTTAAACTTTTTGAGTTTTGGTGGGTGGGCCCTAGGGGGTTGACGGGGGTGACTTCTCTTTCATGTCACTTCAGTTTTTTCTTATTATCCTAGATACGGTTTCAAGGATTTTTCGATATCAGCTTTCGTTCGTGAGATATAGCCCATTGAGGGTTTTAAAATTGACACACTGAATGTAGAAATTTTGTTGAATAATATTGCATACCGTCTCATAGTCTTCAAATTTGAAATGTTAAACTTTATTGATATTTCAAATTTGAAATCAGTCGCCTAAAACCGCCTGGGTTAGGAAATGAAAAACTACTACGAGTAGGTATATATTCTTCCTTACGATGTATTAATTTCTGAAAAGGCCAGAAGCTAATGTAACCCTTGTATTGGTTTGATCAGATAAGGAATTTCTTGACCTGAAATCCAGAATAAAATATTTTTGTCCTTAGTAATATGTTTCCACGTTGGTGAAAAGTTTCGCACACTGCTTAGTATCTAACCAAAATTTTCATATAATGTTGACATTTCTGAATGTGAAGAAGTGGGTATTTACCTTAAGATACTTGTCTGGTTTCTCTGACCAGGTGATAGAACACTGTCAAAAATGTATGACTTCTGAGCAAACAGTACTAACCTAAATAACAAATTTTATAAAGTTACATAGTAACAATTTCTACCTATAAATGCATTTAATGGAGTCTGGTGAAGTTTTCCACGTTACCAAGTATCTGCAAGGCGATTTTTAGGTTATTAATTTCAATACCTTTGCTGCTATAGTTATAACGATTCGAACTTCATAGTAGCTCATCGTATCTACCTGTGTTGGAGGCATGCGCAGAGGAAATTTCTGCTTTCATGGAATAAAGAAGGCCTGGTATTCATAGGCTTTTGTTTGTTTGTTTATTCAAACGTTTGTTATATAGGGTCTTTCCTAAGCGCTTCCTATCTTTTAATTTGAATGAAACAGTGTGCGTGAGATATCGAAATTTTTTATTCGTTTGAAAGACCTTTTGATTTGTGGTATATAACACCACTCAAACGTCCGCCTTGGCTTCTCTGGATTCATAAAACTAACACGGTAAATAGTTAATGCCAGTTAGGTGGTACAAAAATAAACATTTCTGTTTTTTGAGTCGATATAACCATATAAATGTTGTTTTAAACAATGCTCTGTTGCGAAATTTCGTATTCGTGGCCATGATAGCTATCGGAAAGTTCAATTAAGTGGAACGTGTGAACATATTTTAATTTGAAGAGATAAAAACTATGAAGTACCCATATCGTGAATCACGACCTAATTGATTACAACAATAGTAACTGTGCAGGATTTTGCACATTGATCAGTCCTCATGTATTGAAGTTGGCAATTAGAACCTGATGGGTGTTATGATTGATAGTTGATGTAAAGCATTCCTTTCAAATATGGAAAAAACTGATAATGGTGAGTGAATTTTTGAAATATCTATTGAGATCGGAAAAAATCTCTTCATCGAATATCCTATAAAAATCTGCAGAAGAATTTTATCAGAAACCAGATTACACTGTTTCTTAAATTTTATAAGTACTGAATTTGTATCACTTCAAAAATTAACGATTTGCAAAGTGTATAACCCACACTCATTTCATTCCTTTCAGTTACTTCGATCAGTATTCATCAGCAAATAATGCACTGAAAGTTAACAGACAATATAGAATTTGAGATAAAAAAAACCATCTCAAGTATCTCGGAATCATAGTGGATAAAAACTTAAGATGGAATAAACATATTGAACATGTCGCAAGGAAAATCAGATCACTTATGAACAACTTTGAATTTCTTAATAAAAATTTTAAGTTTATCCCAGTTTAGGACGCTTTACTTGACGCTAGTATAACCCCATATCAATTATGGAATTATTGTTTGAAGAGGAATAACTGATAACTACCTCAACAGATTAGAAGTAACTCAAAAATGGCTCATTAAAATCATTTACAACAAAGAATTCACATACTCGTTTGAAAACTTTATGCAGAACCACACTTTTTAACCTGCAAGCAATTGTATCTACAACGTCTTCTGATATTTCATTTCAAACATATAAACCATTTCCCCCCTGTCGACCCCTCACACAATACCAGATTCCGTTTTAAAAACTCTAAAATACCTAAGGTCAATCCAGACAAAAACCAAAGATTCTTTGTCTACCTTGTCCAGAAGTATTTGCCTATCTTCTCCAGGAAATAAAAGTTTACCAAAATATAAATTCAAGAGAGCTTTGAGAACTTGGCTCTTAACCATTACACCCGATGATGTTGACAAATTTTTAGAAAGAAATCCTAGATGATTGTGCTTTTTTTCAATATTCTCCTGTTCCATTAATACATTGAGCATTACTTTGATTTTTCGAAATTTCTAATGGCAAATAAGCTACTTTCCATATAAATATATTTTGTTGTTCCTGTGGATTTAAATTATATTCAGTTAGTAAACTGTATATCTGTCGTTCAACATATATGTATCAAAACGATTTGGAAAAGCTGAATACACTTATTTGAATTAATGGATCGAAGAGGTTTTGTATTTGATTAAATCCATTTGGAAAAACGTTCTCAAGAAGTTCATTCCACACAAACGAAGTTCTCCAAATGAAAGAATTCTTGAACAGTGAAGTTTGAGGTGTACTGAGTTGAACCTCAAAACGATGAGCAGTCACACTCCGTCGCGTATTTCCGATATGTACCGGTCTGGTGGAATCAAATGTGCCAAGTCATTTGAACACTTCCCGTGAAGTATCTATAGAAGAGAGACAAATCTCCAACCTTTCTTCTTTCAAGGTTGCAAGTGATCGTATAAAATTACTCACATCATCTGTATAAATATCAATAATCCCAAACACAGGTGTCTACTTTCATTTCCTCTATGAGCACTCATCTTACTGAACAGATATTCACATTATGAATGTGATATATAACATAATGAAGCAGTTATTTCGTTTAAGTAATCCCTGTATAGGAAAATACGTTGTATCGAATTAGGATCTTGGCAACATACTTTTATATCAATCGACGTTACAATAAATGATTTTGTTCTTATCAATAATAAAACAAAACTATTCCATAGGATGGTAAATAATCTGGTGTAAACAACACCCCAATCAACAGATTATTGTTCGACAATTCCGATCAACCTTTTCAGGTGCAAGAAGTTCTCTTTAGATTATTCCCCGTTTTATTGTATTTTATATTTTCATTTATGGAGGTTTCGTGAGAATATTAAAGTTCTACTCATGATTATTTTATCAGTTTCATGATTCAGATCTCTACTTTCGTTTGAATTATCATCATAGCACACAAAAATTTCAGCTTCACATCATGTATACCATAAGGCTCTTGTTCCTTCTGAAACAAATGTACCCTGTAGAATGTTTCTAAGGTGCTCTAGTCGTGGTTTATTTTGATTCCAGAGTTCGTGGGGTGTGAAATCAATCGTTTTGGTTAGTTTGCCAAATTCACAAAAAATACTCCAACTCATCAGCATATAATGTCAGACGTTACCACACGAGAGGAAGTCGGAATTTACCCTTGACAATCCCAAAATGAGCAATTACAAAATTTTCTTCGATATATGAGAACAAGAAAATATACAACCACCTTCCAATATGCTATAGGGCAATACCAAATTTGGAAAAATTCAGAAAATTAGTTGAAGGAATTCATCTGCAAAAAGCCTACTATGACTTAAGTGTCTTTAGCCTTTAGTTACGAAAACGTATGCCGCCAGATGGCAGTGCGATTTCGCCCGATGAAATAAATACAAACTCCTCCCTAATTCTAACTTGACCAGGCCGGGGCATTCCAGGGCCGAACTTTATTCGCCGACGTGTTCGTTCTTCCAAATTACATTTTAGATTAAAACATGTTCGTTTTCGTGTTGATCTCAAAGTTTGCACGAAAATTGCAGATTATTTGAAAATTATGAATCTTTTATCAAAATTGATAAATTCAAGATGCGGACGAGATTTGTGATTAGGGCCCGATTTGACTTGCTATAAGGAAGTTTTCGGGGTCAGAGATTATGAATCTTTTGTCAAACTTAACGAATTCAAGATGACGGTTCCAAGATATCGAACGAGATATGTGATTATGGTCCGAATCGATTTGAAATTAGTATGTGGATTTTTTTGGGCTCGTAGAGTATAAATGTATTGTCAAAATTAATGAATTCAAGGTGACGGACAAGTTGTGTTATCCGATTCATATTTGGTACAATGGGGTTTTCG